AGCCCAAGATGGCGAAGGCGAAGGCCGTGGAGCCCAAGATGGCGAAGGCTGCGGAGCCCAAGATGGCGAAGGCGGCGGCTGTGGAGCCCAAGATGGCGAAGGCGGCGGCTGTGGTGCCCAAGATGGCGAAGGCGAAGGCCGAGCCCAAGATGGCGAAGGCCAAAGTGATGGCGCCCCGGTCAAAGAAGAGGGTGAGGTCTCCGTCGTCGTCTTCGAGCAGCTGATGTGGATCCTCGCTGTCGGTCGCGGAGTGAAAAAGCGAGAGATGCGAGTTGGCGTGCTTGTGGAGCTTTGCCTTTGTTGCACATTTGCCCTTGTTGCACATTTGGTCTTGCACTTCACTTCGTTTCGCCCAGGCCGATTGAGTTACCGAGCACTCTGACTGTGTTGGGCCCTCGGTGTTAGATCGCAAGATTGCTGCCTTCCAGGGTTCTGTTTTCAAGACGAGGCTTCATGCAGCTAGAAAGTCAGCAGTTATTTCGAGATTCGAGATTGACCCCAGGCCGACGGAGCTGCTCAGGATTCTCGCTAGGTTGGGCCCTCGGTGTGGACGGTGATGCTTGGCCCCAGCTTGCAAACCCCCATTCTCGGCCCGAAAATGGGGGTTTGCAAACCCCCCTTTCAAACCCCCATTTTCGGCCCGAAAATGGGGGTTTGAAGGGGGTTTGCAAACCCCATTTTCGGGCCGACAAACGGTGGTTTAGGGTTTGGGTTTTGGGTTTTGGGAAAAGGAGTTTGGGGCCTCTGGGTTTGAGCGGGTCCTTGGTGCCACCACGCCAGTGTTCTTCGCTTCATTGGCCCAGGCCGGCTGAGCTCGTGGTGCTTTGCGTTGGGCCCTCGGTGCACTCGTTCGAACGGGTTCACACAGATGATTGGAAAGGGCTTGGGGTTTTTGGGGTTTGAGCCGAGCAGGTTGTGTTTGCAGCCTGGTTTATTCCTTGGTGGCACTCTGGTCTTGTTCTGCGCCCAGGCCAGTAGACCTCAACATTCTCGCACGTCGGGACCTTGGTGTGGGGCGGGTCCGATGGACCTGTCGGGCGGGTCCACTGGATCAGGGAGCACCCATCTGCGTCTTTAACCTGCGCCCTCAGTTTGGCTCCCAACTCACAGATTGCGACTGTTTTGTGTCGGCCTCTCGTGCCCAGGCCGATTGAGCTCAGCCTGCTCCATGCCGTGCTAGGTGGGGTCCTCGGCAGCACACTAATCCCACCTAAAGTTGTACGGAAATGCGGGGAACGACCGCGCCTCTAAATTTTCGGATTTTTTCCAGAATCGGTCGCTCGTTTCCAAGCATGCATATTGTTCTAAGATCCAGACCCGGACACCATTGTGCCTAGGCCGATCGAGCTCAGCATTGTCGCCGCATCGAGCTACGTTTTGCCCTCGGTGTGGCAGTGAGCCTTTGCCCAACTAGTTTCGGGGATGATTGGATTGAAAGGGAGTTTGGGTTTTGGGGTTTGGGAGCCGACTGGCTCTCAGGGCGGGTCCGACGGACCTGTAGGGTGGGTCCGATGGACCTGTGCGGGGGTGTGGGCCAGGGAGGGGTCAGGGATGACGCAGGATTGCGAAGTTGTTCTGCTTGTCTTGTGTTGCTCAGACTGACAGAGTCGTGGCATGTCTTGGCACGGCACGAAGGAGTAATCAATGCCTAGCAGGAGTAATCAATGCCTAGCAGGACATGGTCGACAGACTCTCGCAAGCATTTCCCTTCAACTTCCCAGCATTGCAAAAATCAGACACTTGACTTTTCTTCCTGCCCATCCTGTCACTGCCGTGGCGACGAACGGATGCGTGCCAGATCCCCTGACGGTCGGTGCCTCAGATTGGCTGAAGGCACCAACAAGCCCATATGCCGATCCGCCTGTCCTCGGCCAGGCGAGCATGCTCGACGTTGCTTGGAGAAGTTTGGCAGTGTCACCTCCTGAGAACCCTTGTCGCATTCCGGCTGACTGCGTCGGTGCGGACAGGTATCGACGTGTCTTCTTGTGCCGAGGCCAAGGAGGCTGTTCGACGTTGCAATCGGTGCAAATTCTTGAAGAACAAGGACAAATGGTTTGGCCGACTGCTGTACCGTGACGGTGATGTGCAGAGCACTTGGCTTTGCGAAGCACCGCCGACCCAGGCTTGGGGCCTAGGCTGCAAGCTGTGCCGGGCGAAATGTGCAGCCCCAGAGCAGTCCTCCTCGCCCTTCGTACGGTTCACGAAGGGATCCGTCTGCAGGGAAGCGCCTCCTACGCAACTCATGGTTTTTACTTTCTGGGCATCTCGTCTTTCCTTTGCCTTCTCATCTGAGGTGCCTCTTACTCGTTTCGGAGATGTTCTTCAGCTTCAAGATTTAAAGCGCCACGAGGAAACCGACCTCCACGTCAGCAGCCTCTTGGTCGAGCAGCCCGTGGAGGCCGTTTCTGCGAAGGCCGATGCCACGGCTCCGACTGCCGGCCAGGTTCACTTGGCCATTCAGGTCCTAATGGAGCCCCGCAGCGGGCAATCCGTCGGCTACGCCTCGCGGTGCGAGCTGGCTCATCGTTCAGACCCAGGTAACTTCCCGCTACAAAGAGCATCCCCGTGTGAGCACTCGAAGATCATTTCAGCGCTGGCAGCCGTATTGAGAGAGGAGGCTCGCCCTTGAGGCACACAGCACACATTGACATGCATGTCCTCAAATAGACCTGCAGGACCGGCGGCTTGCAAAAAAATGCAAAAGTGCTGGTTGGGCCGAGGACTGTTGACACAGTGGTCGCGGTCGCATCTTAATTTCATTGTATTTGCCGTGCAGGATGTCAGCCAGGACACATTGGCGGTGAAAGTCAAGATGGTTGACAACAACTATGTTGTTCACAGACGCATCCTCGAACTGTCTCGGTGCAATGGCCAGAAGGCCGATTTGCTAATTTTCCAGTGATGTCAGTGATGTCCTTTAGTTGTTGATTGTCTTTTGCCAGACATCGCTACAAAAAGCTGACCACATCCAGCTGGCCTTGGAGAGATTTTGCCCGGACGAGGGCGACCGCTCGGCTTTTGCGAAGACTTTCAAGGAGCCGGGGCCCCGCTTCAGATGCTATCAGACGCCCGCCCAATGTGCCACAGGTCTACACGGTGGACGGCGAAAGGGCAGAGGGACTGGCCGGGCGGTTTGCGGCCGCAGGGGTCTCGGTTGCTTTAACTTACTCGGGGTACCTGCTCCGTGGTTTTCCCGCGAGGCCAGAGGAATCATGCCTTGCTTGTGTACGACAACGAGGTGCTGCATGCACAGCGCTCAGAGGTCGCTCGAAAAGAGCATCAAATCCGACAGTCGATTGAATCAGCTCATCGAGCTCTTTGTTCTTCGTTACTCCACGAAAAGCAAGCACGACCCAGGGAGCTTTTGGAGGGCTTTGGCACACTCTCACAAACTATGTTCCAAGTATTCGGAGGCAGTGCGAAGCCAGTTGGAGGGAGTGGCCGAAGTATTGGGGCAAGATTTTTCTTGTCACTTTGCAGCCCAGAGATTCGACACGATAACTGTTGCACTGAAGAAACTGATTCTATCTTTGCCGGCGGTGGTCCTCTTCTTGACACAGCTTGCAGCCCTGAATAATGAGAAAAGCAAGTGGGCTGAGACTTTGCTCGCAGCCCCTCGGACACAACTAAACAGTGCCGTCCTTGCCAGCTGGTTGCCGCCGCTCTCAGACTGTCTCCTAGGTGTCAAACATTCGACTTCTTGCCCTCGCCACCGAGTGGCTGACGATGGCAAGCCGGTTCGTGCACGAGTACGATCGGGGAAGCACAAAAGAAGGTGCAGAGCCTGCCCAAACCTCTGCCGTCGCCAATGTTGCCCGCTGCTCTCGCCTCACGCTGGCCCTTGAGCAGGACCACGCAGGGCTTTCGGTGTCTTGCCAGTTCTTCTTCAGCGGCGGACTTGCTGTCTCATTCTTAAGCCCGAGGACTTGAATCGGAGATTCAGCTTCGTCTCTCTTCACGGCGAACCTCAGCGACCCTTGGTCCTGTCTCCGCTGTACTCTGCGGGATATCTGAACATCGCCGAGAAACACATGCGGGCTGCAAGCAGCTGCTTGTTTTGACTTGATCGGTTACGCCGCTTCGCCCCAACAGAGCTGGCGAGCCCCAACATCCCAGGTGATGCGGACATGGCTGTGGTGCATGATGGGAGGCTGCTGTTCCATCTGGAAGGCCTTCCTGTCGGACAATTGTGTTTTTTTTCCGGGTTGAGTTGTGGATGTTTCGAGGCGATGCAAGCGATGAGGCCCGGGCTGCGGCGGCAGCGGCAGAGCTGGGAACGATAAAGAACGTTTCCGATGTGTTTTTGGGCTGTGTCCAAGCCTGGCACAATTCCGGGGTGGCGGCCGCACTGGCGCCGTTCGATGTACTCCATTGGGTGGCAAAGCGGAAAGATGCAGACTTGTGCCAGGATAGCATTTAGTGGCTAGTTCGTAGCAAGGCTGTGAACCAGAATTCCATTACCTCGTGGCTCAGGGATGAGCTGCTGGCTCCCCTGGCGAAGCTCTTGGAAGTCGACGCCAAAGCCCTTAGAGAAGAGTATCTTTGTGCAAGACCCACCGCCATCTTCCTGGCAAGGCTGGGGCTTCGGTGTTACCTATCCTTCGCTTGCTCAGACGAAACCATGCTGCAGGTCAGGCGAGCAGGAGTTTTGGCCCGCCACGATGCAACGGTTTCGGAATCTTTCTGCTCTCAAGGTAGCGGTCCACAGCTCAGACCCGGCTGCGACGATGCCCTTCTGAACTTTGCGGCTGCAGGGCTGGAAAATGGTCAAAAGCAAACCCCCATTCTCGGCCCGAGAAGGGGGGTTTGCTTTTGGCGCTGCAGGGCTGAAAAATGGCCGAAAGCAACCCCAGGTCCGGTACCTGCTTTGCATCTTCGACTCGACGAGCGAGATCGAGAGTAGTTTCAGCACCCTGCGCCTGTTCTCAGGACCTGCTTTGCTTCTGAGCTGTGTCATTTGCTTTGTGCCCATCCCCTTGTCAGGAGGAATCAAGGGCAGCATGACACCTGCCAATGCCGATGCCTACCTGAAAGCGTGGTGCGACTGTCCTCCTCTGGACAAAGTCGTTTTCTTCGATGGCAAGAACTACCAGCCCCGTCCCCTGTATTACAAGATCATTACAAAGTACAAAGAGATTCATGGGGGCAGTGGTGCCAACACGAAGAAGACTCGATTGCCAAGAAGGCAGTTTGTTTCCAGAAAGCGGAAAACTGGATTGAATGCCTTTGAGAGGCGGCGGCAGGCTGAGCTTGAGGCTGCCGGATCCCAAACAGGAGAGGAGACTTTGAATTTGGAAGCCCTGGATGCTATTGCGAAATGCAGTGCAAAGACGAGGCAGACCCAAACTCAGGTCGACCTCCGGGAAGCTGTGAAGAAGCTGCAGGCAGACCTTTGGCGGGACTTCACGTCTGGGCCCCTCTGTGGGACGGCCCAGAAGCTCAAGCAGCACGAGAAGGAACATCTTGAGAACAAGGAGAAGTTGGGCCGGCTGGAGCAAAGGCATTTGCAGGAGCAGCATGTTACCCTGCCTCCTGGCTTTTGTGCTTTCGTCGTTCTTGGTGGCTGCAAGGAGGCGAAGACCCGTGTCAAAAAGCAATTGCTTCGCCTTGGGGTCTGTGGCTCTGTTTATGGTGGCTCTGACTTCCTGAACTATATCTCCGAGGAGAAGCTGCTTGCCAAGGTCGGCCCAAATCACTTCGTCTACATCTGCTGTGATAGTGATAGTTTCCTCCGGACCATCCATCCGTCAGTGCCAGAGGATGACGACATGAAGGAGGGATGCATCAGCCTCGCAATCCGCGTCTTGGGCGGGTTCGTGGGGACGGAACAGTGGGTTAACCATGCGGCGAAACGGCCGCACGAGCCGCCGGCCCCCATCTTGCGGCTGCTCCCGGCCTATGAACAGAACATCCAGTTCTATATGTCGGACAAGGTTCACGAGAAGCTGAAGGGCATCGTGGTTCATCTGCAGAATGCCTTGACCGAGAGCATCCTAGCCCCCAACGTGCGGTGGATGATGAGAGAGAAGAGAACGCTTCTGTGTTCTGGCGGCAAGAAGTTCAGAAAAAGTGTTGTCGCCGTTGTGTCGGCCATTTGGTGTCTGTCAAAGGAGTCTGCCGGGGGACCCCCTGGCCCGACGAGCGTGCCCTGCACTGTCGTCCTAGGATGGGGCTCATTGGGGGACCCCTTCCAGCGACAAGGGGCTCTCTCAGAATTTGGGAGCTGGGAGTCCTGTTGGTTCAGGATGGATGGACGTGGAATGTCAGGGTCAAGATGGGAAGCAATGGTCCAAAAATGGTCCTGGTCACATCCCTGCTTTGTCGTTTCTTCGTCTTGGTGGGGGGTATGTCTGGAGACCCCCTTGCCGGACGAGCGTGCCCTGCGCCGCTGTCGGAGCGGGGGGTATGTGGATGAACTCCTGTGTCCTACGCCGAGCTATGGAAAAAAAGTCTTTTGACAATCAAACCAGCCAAGGAACCGGAAGCGTGCCTTCCTCGTCGTGCCTCAGGTGCAGGAGGCCACTCGGAAAAAGCTCGTCAAGAAGGGCGTGGCCGGAACATTAGTGTCCATCAAAGACTTCTTTCGTGTCCTGACCAAGTGTCTTGGACGACATCCATACCAGTCCCGGGGTTGATGTGCATGTGTGGGCGACTAGTTTTCACTCGTGTCTCAGGTGGCTTTGACTCTGTCGGCGAGCTGGCGAAATCCGCCGGCATGGGGTCTTTTGCCACCTCGTGCAAGGTGGCTTTAGGGGTCCAGGACCGCAAGGTCTTGTTCATATTTTTTCGTCTGCTGAGCAGCTGACTGCAGCTGCCTGGGGAAGGATGTCGGGGTGCAAGAGTGAAAGCAAGCCTGCTCAGCCTTTCTGTTGAGGCTCCAATCTTTCGCAGCTCCGTCTCATTAACACTTGCTCTGTGACTCGCAGCATTTTTTGCTTCGCCACGTTTTGAGGGTCAGTGCCTTTAAAGGGCACTTTGGATCAATATGGGCAAACCACGTACCTCTGGTGGTGGCAAGCCAGCGAAGAAGCTGGCCAAGACCAAGGCCGACGACACGGAGCAGCTTCAGGACGACCAACATTTGTGGACAGCGATCCGGGAAAGCATCGGTGTCATCCGTGCTGCGAATGCCTGGCCGGAAGCAGGCTCCGACCCGTTGCCTGCCGAGGGCCTGATGCCCTTGGGTCCTAACTGGGATGGATCCATGGTCAAGGACGACCAAGAGTATCTCGGCTTAAAGTTTCTTGGCTTCGGTTGTCCCGATCTTGCTGCTGCTTACCTTACTTAAGGCAGCAGACGCGAGGGTGTGGAGTGCTCGGTGACCTGAACTGGGAACGAGCCGGCCCGGGCTGCGTTCTGTCGTGGGGCGATATGTGCGATGCACGAGATTTCCATCTCAGAAAGGACCACATTGACCCTTTGCCGTGCACCATGGTTCTCTGCCAGGCGGAGACCAAGAGGCCGGTGAGAATGATGCAAGCCGCTTGTCTTAAGTCTTAGTTGCTTAGATTCGGATTTTCCCTGAGGGGAGAGCTCACTCCAACGAGCCACTTGCCGCACTTGGCGGCCTTCGTCATCGAATGGGCCCACCTGCTGGAAACCGATGACCCCAAGAAGGACGTGTTCGCGAAGCGAGCGCGAGTGTCTTGGATGTCACATGAATCATATGCCCCAACATTCTTTGCCGGTCCACACTCCGCGACCGAGGCCCTGCCTTTGCTCTTCGTGCGCTGCTCTCCTGACAGTGCGGATGCTTTCTGGGAATCTCACAAGAGAGGAGAAACGGTGCAAGCCGCATCTTTCCAGGCAAGTGTCACTGCTGGCTGCCGCGGGTTTTGATCTTTGAGCCTGCAGTCTGCCAGGAAGGGAATCAATTTGCTTGCCGACTGAGTGATCGCTTGTACATGTCGCCAGACTTATGTTGTCTTGCCAGTCCTTCATACGCCATCATGGGTGAGCTACAAAGGCTTCAGCAACTACATGCTGGCCTCGGAAAACCAACGAACGCGGAGGGGCTCTTCCTGGCCTTTCAGGTGGGCTGGTTTCATTGATCACGCACCTCTCCTCGCCCCCCCCTCCACCTCGTTCACTTGGGCGCCAGGAGCAGGTAAAGAACCAGCGGCTGAAGTTCGGCTCGGGCGACAGCGAGGCTGCCAAGCACCTGCTGTCACACAGACTTGCTAGACGTTTCTCTTTGTGTCAGGTCAGCTCCGAAGACAAGGTGGCAAAATTGCTCAGGCTCAGAAAGCGATGCCAGGAGGCCAACTGCTGGGAGTTCCTGAAGAGTATGCAGTTCTTCAACAACAGCCCGACGTGGGCGAGCCGGTGGTCGGTAGTTACTAGGTTTTGGAGCAACATCTGATTATACTTTCATGGGACATGTGACAAAAAGAAGCCATTATGAAATACCAGTTGATTTTTCTTCTCCTCGGTTCCTTTCCCTGCAACGCCCAGGTAACTCGGGTTCTGGGGATTGCGAGCAGTCCCGACGAGTTCGGCTGGGTGATTCGTCGGTAGCTCAGCATCTGTCACCATCACACTGATTCTGGCCCCACCCACATGCTTTAAAAGATTGTCGCTGAAACTTTGTCCTCAGGACAGCTGTATATCGGGATGAAGGGCGACAACCCTGCACAAACTTTCCGAGTTGCCGTCAACGAGATGAGCCGCGACAACCTGCTGGACACGTTTCAGGCTTTGGTTTGCACCCGCCAATGCATGCAGGCGGGCTGGGTCAGCAACCTCCGTCTCGTTTAATTTCTCTTGCTCAAGACCGCTTGCAGGCAATCATAGAGTCGACGACGGAGAGGGAAAAATCTTCGGAGTGGAGAGACCTCCTTTCCACCTACGTGAATCCGGAAAGCCTCAAGCTTTCGGGTGGCGGCTTCGCCGACATCCACCAAGAAGCCTTCTTAGGCAAAACCGCCGAACAGGCAGCCGTCCTGCTTTTGCTGAAGCAGTTCTTGGACTTGGACTGTTTGCCAACCATGTATGCCGTGGTGGCTTCTCACGACACTGCTGTGAACCGCTTTTCGGACTCGCGGGTCCAGAACTTGGTGAAAAAAACAATCGAGGAGCCGCTGGACGTGGACTAAACTCTAGGATTGATGGTAATCTCTGTGTTTCTTGATGGCCACAATCTGTTTGGAGCCGAGGCACAATGCCGTGCATCTGACGCCGCTCCCTCCGGTTGCTGCCCTGCCTGATGCTGAGGAGATTTTGAAAGAGATGTCAGCTGACTGGGACGACAAGGATGTGTCTGGGCCCGCCGCAGAGCCTGCCGCCCCTCCTCCAAAACCCAAGCCGGCCTCCGACCTCCAGAAGGCTAAGGTCGAGGTGCTGCGGTACTGCAAGTTCGTGGTGGCGGACATCACCAACCTGAGCAGTGTCCAGACGGCCTTAGCTGACTGTGCCTCCAGCCTTTTGCCGCCCGACGGCGTGACATCTGCTGGCAAAGTGCGGGGGTGGATGTTCGACAGTGGTCTCATCCTTGAACCCTCGGAAGTTTTTTCGCGGAGTCACAACATCTACTCTCGGACTCCACCATTCGGCAAATCCGTCTTGAGACTCTGCTGCAACGGGGGGGTTTTGTTTTTGTGCAATGTTCAGATTCCGACTGTGTGGGCTGGATTGCAAGGGCCAATGTGGTGAAGATCTTCGGCTCACAGGCCAAGGAGGACAAGGCGTCGTGAGGGTTCCATGCCCACGTGTCTCAGGGACTCATTCATATTGACTGCCGTCATTTCTTGCCTTTAGCGCCCAGGATGCCCTGCTGGTCTTCGGCGTGGGGTCAAGCCAAGCGAACGGTGAGATTCGAAAGCAGATGAACAAGCTCAACGTGCCCAATGCGACGCTGAATTCCTTGCTGCTCATGCCCAGCTCCCAGGAGGACCTTGAGCGGCGAGCCAAGTGTGGGCCCGGTGGCCAGGACACGTAGCTTGCCAGAATCCTTCGTGCCGCTCGCTCTCTCAAACTCTCTCAAAGTCTCTCTCTAAAACTCTCTCGCTCTCTCTCACTCTCTCTCTCTATTTAGGGCACCGGCGAAAAAGCGAAAGCGGGCCTTCTCCCTGAACACCATCGTGGGCAAGGAAACCTTGGTCTTCGCAGCGCCTCCGCTGATTGCACGGGAACACCGCTTCATCGGCGAAGGCACAGACAGCACCTGCCCCTGGCTTCCGATTCCTTTGCCAGACCCCGCACAGCTGCCGATGGTCGAAAAGAAAATCAAAAGCCAGATCATGCTGACCATGAATGAGAAGAAGGAGGTCGTCCCGATCTCGGGTGCCGCCACCATGGTACCGGATGATGTGGGCGAGGAGGACTGAAAATTGTATTGAGCATTCTCCTTGCAGCACTGCTGTTTTTACTTGGCCAGAGCTCTTCTTGTTGTGCGATGCAGGAGTTGGTGCCGTTGCACGTCAACGGCAGACACCAGATCCTCTATCGGGAGTTGTTTCATACCTTCCGCTTGCACTCCATCGTCCTGTGGACACCAGAGACAGCAGCAGTGGTGGCTGCCGTCAAAGACAAGGTGAGCTGCATCGCAATCTTACGCAACACATGTCACATGCAGTTGCTCATGAACTCCGTCGTGGAGGAGTTGGCGAAGGACACTGCTTTTTCCAACCCGGCTCCCTCGAATCCCGTGCCATCAAATCCGGTGGCGCCTGCCAAAAGCGAAACCACCGGAGAGGGCGGCTCGAACACAAAGCCCAAGGCTGAGAGCGAGCCTAAGAAGGCAAGTGCCGAAAAGGCGTTCCCGCCCAGCGATGACGACGAGGATGGGTCCGATTCTAACGACTCCAACGAGAGCTAAATTTTAATGTTCCTGCTAGTCCATGTGGCCACAGGCATGCTGTCGTAGAAATCAGTTCTTCATCTTTCCTGTCGAAGCCAAGTGACTGCCGTTTTGGGCCACTGTGGACGGAGTTAGGAAGCAGCGATCTTTGCTGTCCGCGGTGACAACTTAAAAGCTGGGGAAAGCAGCTGCAAATCACACATTGAGTGGCATGGTTGGTCACCCTGTTGTTTGTCAGCTGCTCAAGTTTTTGTGATACGGGTCTTTGCTTGCGGAGGGCACTGAACCTCATGAGTTCGAAAGCTGCCGCGGCCCTGGCAGCTGTACAGCTGGGAGACGCTTCGAACAGACGTGAGGGCCTTATAAGCAGGAGGGAATCGCTGCAATGTTGTTGCTACTTACTGCTACTTATCCATTACACATTTCTACGTGAGGTAGCCGCCGAGTCTCAGACATTACTCAGATCCGCCTGGATGCGATTCTGTCCAAGACAAAGGCTGGCGACCGTGCCTGAAGCGCAATTCTGAGCGACGTGCGGGTGGCAGGATTTCGTAGAGGACCTCTGCTCGCTGGTCGAGCCCGTGGATGTGTGGAGGGCTCGGAAGGTTCTCTGGCTGAGGAGTTGCAATGTCGTTTTGCCCAGGTCCTTGGGTTCCAAGAAAAAGGGGCGGAGCATGCCCGGGCCCCCAGATTAGCTGACCCCAAACAGGCAGAGAATTCATGGTTTGCCAGGTTCTTCGGAGTCCAGAAGAAGAAGCGGGAAAAGCAGGACAAGAATCAGCCGGCAGATGCTACAGACAAAAAGAAGAAGCAGAAGAAGCAGAAGAAGGAGAAGAAAGATGAGTACATACTGAACCCAAAGAACACCTCTTGCCCCAGGGTTCTGAAGGGACTCTGCCATATTCTTCGTAGCGAGACAAAGGATGCCGTCGCTTTCAACCGGGTGAAGATTATCTACGACCCTAAGGGAGGAGCATCAGGCATGACTGCTGCCGGCGCCGGCCGTCTCCGTCCGACCTTGGTCATGTCCGCGTGGAAGGGCGACGGTCGAGTGCCAGAAGGCTGGGGAAGCTCGCGGGGCACATTCCAATCTATTTCAACCTTTGTTGCAGGTGCTGGCATGATCTGGTCCTACATCAACGGGGTGGATGCTGAGGCGGACAATCACATGCCGAGCCTCGGCAAGGTCGGCTTCCGTCTTCCTTCGGGTTCCGTCTCTAGCACGTGTCTTGTTGCAGGTGGCGCAGATCGACGGCCGATTCCCGTGGGCATTCGTGCAAGCGCCATCCTTCTGCGTGGTGGGCGAATGGGTCGGTGGGAAAAAGATGAGCCCTGCTATGTCGGACGCCCTGCAGCAGTCCGGCTTTCTTGTCGCCTCCGACCGCAGCTCCCTGGCAGAGCTTCCCGAAGCGATGGCTACAGGATCCCTTCTCTCGAAACTGGCAGCGAAAAGATTCCGAGTTGAGCATCCAGGGGCCAAGAAGGCCCGGCACATTCCGGCATGTATTCAAGGCCCTTCTCCTGGCATCTATCTTCTTGCGTCTGCCGCCTTGAGGTGCGGAAACCAACTTTCTGCGAGACGTGCATGTGTGACAGCTGCCGGACAGCACGTGCAGATGCGGCCAAGTGAGCTGCGTGAGATGGACCCCGTATGCGTGACAGCTGCTTATGAAGGACGGGCAGATGCAGCTGCAGTTTTGTGCGGTTCCGTGTGTGCGACAGCTGCCTTTGAAACACGGGCAGCCAAGTGGTCGACTCCAGATGTATGACAGCTGCAAGAGCACGGGCCTATGCAGAAAAGGTTGTCTGCCAGTTAGGCTTGCAGTTTTGTAGCGGCAATGTTGGGTAGCTGGATCCATTTGTGCAGCTTTCTTTGGAGATTCCGCACCATCGTCGGCTGGGCATCCGTAAACCTTGATCTGTAAACCCGAATCCGTTGGGAAAAGCATTGCTGGCCTGCTCTTTCGGCATTCTTGTTGCCCCCTGACCCAGGCATTGCTTCCGACAGCGGGCCGCAGACAACCACAATTCCAAATAGAGTTTGGGCACAAGCACAGCCGCCAGGAGCCGTGTAGGACAATCACATTTAGAGATGAGCAAAAGACACAGACAACAGGCAACGGACAACCACATTTGGGCAGGGGTCTCCGACAGCGGGCCCGCAAACCCTAAGACAATCACAATTTCATATGAGGCTAAAACCCTCCACCCTTCCAAACTGTGGTTGCCCAGCCTCCCGTCGGATGACGACCAGACGGTTGGACAGCATTCGGCGAGGCCAATTCAATTGCGCAAATGCCGTCAACATTTTTTTTTACGTCAACGAAATGAAGCGGACAATCACAATTCGACATGACCAGGACAACCACAATTCGATATGCAACGACAAATTATGCATCAGTTTCGAAAAGCAAGGTAACTATGACATGAATCATAGTTCAGAATAAGTTTTTAACATAGCATTCACAGTCCTGTGCTTTCATCATCACGGTTGAATCCATTGGTTCCAGGCCTCCATTCGCTTTGTGACAAGAAAGAGTGACTTGAGAAAATGCATAGACTCGATGATGACTTAGCTGCATCTGAAGCTTCCGGCAAATCTGATAGGCTCATCGATGAAGTGCTTACAGCCCACTGAGTGGTGCAATGTATGCTAGAGGGGCTGCCGGCACTGAGAATAGTTCTGAAGATGCTAGCCGCAAGAAGACACTTCGAGAAAGTTATTCATGTTCCTTGTTCCATAGGTACCTATTCAGCAGTCTGTTTTACTGAGGAATCCTCAGAATGTGACGTGTTGCTTTGGGTCCAGTGGACCCGAGGGGGGTCCTGCGATTTCGAACATGTGCAGGTGTTCGGTCGTGAACAAGGGTGCCAGTCTCAAGGGTGCCGAGAAGCTGCCGTCACCAGGCTGCATGCGAATTCGAATTAACACATGTGCTGAATTGAGCTGTGATGGGCAAGCTGTGACTCTTCAGAATCAGACTTGTAATTTCATGGCAAGCCGTGACTTTTCAGATTCACATGTGTTCGCATGCCCAGCATTGCGGGCACAAGGGACGATCTCTCTCGACCAAGGTCTCTGCGAGTCTTTTCAGATTTTCAGCTGCGGACAAACACAGAGCTCCGAAGCAGCAAATCATCAGCCTCACTGTCAAAACCGTCATTGCCTGGGATCGACAGGTTTCTTCCCGTGCGATGCCGAGCTCTCCGTACAAGTGTCCCGGCTGCGGGGCTGGGAGTAGGCGCAAGCCGCCTGCCCTGTGCAATGGCTGTGCCGTGGTTGCATTTCAAAACCTC